GGTTGTCAGTCTAGATTTTATGCGCAGATGGAGAAAAAGCGCAGAATTTTTGTAATGAGATGAAAAGCAGAAATAATAAGAAATAATAAGAAAAGATGAAATGAAAGCCTGCTCACAACCCCGCCCAGCCTTGCGAACTGGGTATGGTGGATTAAGAACCCGGTTCAACGCTCGAGCAAGCGCTCTCCACTCAAGGTGTTCACAGCAACTGATAGGAACTCATATGGGGAAATTATAGAAAAGAAATAATAAGATAAAGAGAATAAATTTCAACGCACCTCAATAAACGGAGCCCCACATACAGTACCTCAGAAAAGTGGATCTTCCGACCAGTGTTTTTGTTGACGCCGCAACCAGATGATGTAGCTGCTTCGCAGAGACGTCTTACTGCACAAATTACAAATAAATTTTATTCTTCGATTAGAAAACCCAAGCGCTTTCAGAGCCCTCCGAAGAGAGTCCGGGATGAAACCACGCACACCTACCTCAACCGAAAAAGAGAGAGAGAGAGAGAGAGAGAGAGCCGTGATCTTGAGTGCCACAAGTGCCACAACTTTCTTGCTTCTTTTCCCTGGTGTTTTTGACTGAAATATCCTATTTCACTGATGGCCTGCGCAGAACGATGCTCAGCGGACCAGTTTGTGAATTCGGATTGAGCTAAATGTGAGACTGGTGCGCTTTTTGGTGGAGGAACACGCAATACATTCTACGCCGGTAAACCTAACAGGGAAATTACTCTACAACCAAGAGTAGATAAACAAGAGTGCGCAACTCCGGGATGGGTTGGCCCGCGGCGGAATTGTTTGTTGACGTAATTTTTTCGACGATGCACGCGCTGCGAGTCTTTTGGAAAGTTTTGCCTCATGCACTTGGCCAGGCTTTACATTACAAAGTCGGTGCTCAGCACGTGCTCTCACACTGCTCTGCGGCAAAATGCCCGTTCTTCTAAAAAAAGGTGACGTCAACAAAAAATTCCGCCGCGGGCGGGGGTATCTGCAGATTGTGCAGAAAAGATCCGGAGTTGCACACTCTTTGTACGCGTGGAGACGCTTTCCACCGCACATCAGAAACCGAAGCGACAACTTGCTCGTCTTCTCAAGAACTCTCAACAACGAAGACACTGGCGCACGCAAAGCTACGTGGCACACGGCGCTCCAAAGAAGAAATGCGTAGATCACGTGCATGCATATGAGAAAAGCAATGATGTCACGCTGCCATGACGATACACAAGCTGTACTGGCACGCAGTGGACAAAAATAATGGAAAATCAAGAAAAGTCAGAAAATAATACAAACAGTGAAATTCGAAAGTAGAAGTCCAAAGCTAAAGGAAGTTCAAAGAACAAGGAAAACGAAGATCTGTGCTGATAGGAACTCAAAGCAATTTCAACCAAGTCCTGTCAGAGAGTGTTAGCACCCACAGGGTGAAGGCAAGCCTTGTCAGAGCAGAACCTACACTTGGACGGACTAGAGCTGCAGAACGGACTTTCTGAAGGAATGCAAAGATAAGTAACAATTCAAATTCGAGACAATCAACTTAGAAACAACACCAGCTGTTTTGTAACCTGCAAACTGCTTGTAACAATCAGTGATGTACTAGTAACTAACTCCTAGTAAGCGCTTTGACTGTGCTCTCAGAAGAACAAAAAATATAGAATAAACACAGTAGATAAATAATTGTGACACTCGTAAATTCTACAATATCTGGAGTCTTCTGCACAGTACATGCACAACCCACAGATCGCACAGGGAATACAACAGAGAACAGAGCGCACACAGATCGCACAGAGAACGCACAGAAAGCACACAGAACGCACAGAAAGCACACAGAACGCACACCACTGCATACTGTATTCTGAACATTCTCCCCCTCTTGATCAGACCACGGATCAACCCTGCTTAGAACTCCAGTGGGCACAGCTTAGTGATTGGACGAGTGTAGCGCTTGCCGCCCACCAATACTTCGGCGACACGCACCTTGCCGTCTGCTCCTGGGAACACCTTGACCACACGTCCCAAAGGCCACTGTCCGCGCGGAGTGTCCGACTGCAGTACGAGAACGGCGTCATCAGGCTGCAGGCTCTTCTGTGCATGCGGCCACTTGGTCCGACGGTTCAGGGCTGGTACCCACTCTTGCATTAAGCGCTTCCAGAAATGCTGGATTAACTCTTGTACAACTCGCCAACGGTTGCGAGGATGGAACGGCGTGTCATCCACCGACTCTGGAGCGAATCGACCTCCCGCTTGTCCCGTCAGGAAGTGATTTGGCGTCAGCACAGTCTGATCCTTCGGGTCTGCGGACTGATAACTCAGCGGACGAGAATTCAGTAGGCTCTCTGCACCACAAAAGGCTGTCATCAACTCCTCGTCGTTGACATCTGCATTGCCTAGAATGTGCTGGATTGCTCGCTTAGCAGATTTCACCATCGCCTCGTGAGCGCCACCGAAGTGTGGAGCGAGCGGAGGATTGAATGACCAGGTGAGACCGCGGTTGGCTGCTGAGCGCTGTACAGCCTTCTGGTCCAGGGCGTTAACCAGTTCCTTGAGCTCTCGGTTGGCGCCGACGAAGTTAGTGCCGTTGTCCGACAACATCTGCATGGGCAGACCACGCCTGTCGACGAATCGAGACAATGCGCGGAGGAAGGCATCTGTGTCAAGACCGTGCGCCATTTCAAGGTGCACTGCTCGACTGAGTAGACATGTAAAGAGACACAAATAACGCTTCTCTCGCCGCTTGCCTCTGCCTTGGACTGTCACGAATGGCCCAGCAAAATCCACAGCTGTACGAGCGAATGCCCGCAATGGTAGTGATAGCCGCACCTTGGGCAGAGGCGCCATCTGCTGCTCCGCTGCTTTGGCTTTCTCTCTTCGACACACCGAACACTCACGCTCCCACTCTCGAATTGCTTCACGGGCAGACACTACCCAGAACGTTGTGCTTAGCGACGACAGCGTCTGGTTCGTGCCGCCATGCTGCTGCAGCTCGTGATGGTGCTTCACAATAAGCTGCGTGATGTGATGATTGCGTGGCAAGATCACTGGAAATCTCACGTTGTGTGGCAGCCACTCGGCGTACTGCGTCCGGCCGACGCATCGCAGCAACCCATCTGCGTCGATCTTGGGGTTGAGCTTCAGTAGCGCTGATCTGGATGGCACTGCTTGCTTGTTGAGCACACTCTTCAGGCCGTCGCTGAACGCCTCGCTCTCAGCTTGCGCGATCCACAACTGCTCGGCGTCACTGATCTCCGCTGCTGTCAGTTCACTTGTGATGCGATTCCGGCCAGCGGAGTTCCCGATGAAGCGCATAACCCACGCTGTCACTCGCACGAGACGCAACCAATCGGAATATCGCTCGGGCTTCAGGCGAAATCCTGGCGGCTGTGCAACAGTTACGAAGCTCACTGCTTCCGCTGCGCTGCGCTTAAACTCTTCAGCGCTCGGGGCTGTCGGTGGACCTGCTGGCAATGTCGGCCAGTCGGCTGAGTCACTGCGTAGAAATGACGGGTTGGTACCACTTGCCCTCGTGCGGTTGAGCTCTGTTTACATCTGACTGGTCTCGTACCACTGACGCATAGCTGGAGCAATGACGATCTAGCCATTGTCGACGTCGTGCCCCTCCCTACACATATCCACCCTAACACTGTCAGACGCGCCACAAGTTCTCCAGGAGCTCCACGTATCTCCTCCAGCGCACAATGAATGTCTGGTTGGTCAAGGAGCTCCACGTATCTCTTCCAGCGCACAATGGATGTCTGGTTGGTCAATGCCGATGAGCATATCTACCTCTCTACGCTTTGGCAAGCTGGCAAATGTCACTTCCTTGAGATGTGGCCAATGCCGCTGCTCTGTTGACCAATTCACTGCGTGCATGTCGTCAGTGGTTTGCTGTAGCGTGTTCGCCTGGATCTTGCGCTCCCAGCTGCCATCTACGCTGCTGAGCTGCACGTCGACGTCCTGGGTGTCGTACGTTGAGCGCTGTCCGTTTAGTACTCCGACTGATATCTTGGAGCTTGGTCCACTTAGCTGAAGTTCTGCTGCTACTCGGGCGCTGACATACGTCTGTGTGCTGCCGTCGTCCAGTAGGGCATTAATACGCACACGTCTGTTGCCATTGCCGATCATGACTGGTACGGTTCGCAAAGCCAAATTCCCAGTGCCACTGGCTTTCATGGTCGTTGCTGCTGCTTGAGACTCCTGCGCCTCCCCCTCAGTGGCGAGGTACACACCTTGCTTCTTTGTGCTTGGTTTGTCCTTGGGCGGATCTCTGTTCTTGATCTGCTGCTGCCCGTGCAGGAGCCTATGGTGCGTGGAGTCGCAACCATCAACGCCGCAAACTCTCGTCCGTTCACAGTCGTTGCCACGGTGACCAGTCGCCAGACACCGATAACACAGACGCGTTGCTTTGGCCTTGACCCAGCGCTCAACAACAGTCATTCCTTTGAACTGGTCGCACTGCCACACGCCATGGACGTCGCCGCACACTTCACACGACTTTCCGCTACGAGCCACAAAAGATCTGTTGTGTGGGTAAGACCCTGGCCTGGCTGGCCGGTTGGCAGGCGCGTGTGCTGATGCTCCTGGCTGGGATATGCTGATCTCGTCTGCCGTTTCTGCTGCCACAGTCAGGAACTCTGCCTCTTGTTCCAGCCACACTGCTAATATGGTGACTGTTTCTGGCTGCTGTTGCACGAATAGCCAACGCTGATACTGCGCGATCAGCTTCTCATCCAGCTTTCGCAGCAGCTGGTTATACAGAGTTCCCGGACCCAGCTCATGGGAACGCCCTGCATCTGTCAAGTTTACTATTGCGATCTCCAGCAGCTCAGAATACCGCACCAGTTCGCGCTGGCGACCACTGCGGACGGTTGGCATTCTCTCAATGTCCTCCAGCTGCAGAGCAATTTGTCTTCGACTGCCACCGTACTTGCGCTCAAGCTTCGCCTTTGCCGTTGCATAAGCTGCTGGCGAGTACCCGAGGGCACTGATCGTCTCCAGCGGCTCGCCCTTCAGGTAAGTACGCAACTGCAGCAGCTTGTACGCATCGTTGGCTGGCGAGACATCTACGCATGCGTTGAAGGCAGCTCGCCACTGCTCGTACTCTTTGCGGTTTCCGGTGAAAACTGGAATGCCGACTTGTGGCATCTGCCGCCATGGCTCTACCATTCCACCTGGTGGAAAGTTTGCGTACGGTGCTGGTGCTGTGAACGTTGCTGGTGCTGCGAATGGTGCTGGTGCTGCTACCAGAGCTGGTGCCACTACACTCGGTGCAGACACTGCTGGCGGAAGGCTAGTACTGGTCACTGGTGCTCTTGCAGGCTGACTGGTGGCTCTGCCTCCGTCACTGGCTGTCAGTGGTCCAGCCCGACCCGAGTTTACAACGGAGGTTATGCCCCTCGAAGCTGTTACAACAGCCGGCACAGACCTCAACGACATACTATTACTAAAGGCGGCAGCAGGCACAGAACTAGCCGACGTACTGATGGGAGCTGCAGCACTGCCAGCAGGCACAGAACTTGCCAAGGTACTCGTACTACTGCTACTAGTACTACTGCTACTCGGAGCGGCAGTCCCCGAGCTGGCAGCAGTCCCCGAGCTGGCAGCAGTCCCCGAGCTGGCAGCAGTCCCCGAGCTGGCAGCAGTCACACTCAAGGAACTCGGTGCCGACGACCCAGGTAGACTACTCGGTAAGAGTCCTGACTCCAGACCGACAGGTCC